TTTAATCTGTATATAATATATACCCTTTGTCAGAATAGAGATAAAAATATATAACCATGCTCATGTATTTTCTATGTTTAAGAACATGCATAAGTGTATTTATGAACTAATTTTAAAAGTTATTATTTATTATATATTTATGCCTTTCAAATGAGTGAATATATATTTTTACACTTTATGATGGAGAAATAGATAAATATTGAAAAATGTTGGTAGTTAGGCGTTATTATAAAATATATAAATTTAATAATTCTTCATTATAGTAAAAAAAAAGTTTTTAAATAAACCCATTAATATGATATTTGTTAATATGAAACTATATTTGGTATATGTATTCTCATTGTAAATAAGTATACTTAAAAGGAATAAATAAAAATTATTTTGCTGAAAAAGTAAATTTTATAATATGTTAGAATTTCTTATGGTATAAAAATATAAATAATGCATTTAAGCTATTATTACATTTTCATGGACAAAACATATTACATTCATTTGCATATCAATTTTTTGTTATTATATCATTATTAGAATATTCTGTATTTAATGGTTACAAAATAAATAGACTTTATGAATTAATTTATCAAATATTGTTTGTTATTTAATTCAATTACGTGCATACAATATTTAAACCACATATATTACAGCTTCTAAGAATATATTTCTCCTTGTACACAACATTATATAATTTAATTATATATATATAATTTTTAAAATAATTAAGGACAAGAAAGTATTTTCATGAATATAAAACTGGAATGTTATAATAAATTTAAACAATCTTAAGTCTAATAAAAATACAAGCAACAATGCTTAAAAAAGAACATGATACCTTTTTAGTATATTTAAAAAATATTTATAAAGAAAGCACAATTATTTTAAAGTATATTTCGTAATATTTCATAAATTGATGTAGATTAAATAAGTAAAAAATTGATACACGTAAATAATAGAACATAATATTATATATAAAAGAATTTTCAAATATACTTCTGAAATATACATTCTATATGTGAACTAATAAGAAGTGTGTTAATTTAATGTGATTAGGAATAATTATTAATATAACACAGTAATTATGTAGAAATGTATGCTGCATTAATACTTTAATAATATTCACTCAATTGAATATTATAATATTGCTAAGAAAATAATATCTTACTTATATATTAAATATTATAAAATAGGTAATATGGGAATCTATAAAATCCTGAATTAAATAGAAAACAATAAATAGGTAATAATTTAAAAAATATTATTTTTTGCAGTAAATCTTTTTTATTACCGGGTTCAGAGAATTTTAGTTATGTCATTGTAGCTGGTAAATTATATTAAATTTCAAGGAAAACATGTATTTTTTTAACTTTTTTATTATTAATAAATTGTATTTTTTGTTTTTCCTAACTAAAACTGAAAAAAAATATATACATATCGTAACAAGAATATCATTATTGTTTAACATATTATTAAATAATTTAGTATATCATACAGTATTCTTCACGGAGGGTTATACATTGAAACAATTTTTTAGAATTATTCTTATTTATATTTCCTAATTGTTATTTTTCTAACGATTGAATTTAATAATTATATCTAAGCGGAATAGCACAAATATAAGCTATTTATATAGAGTTATTAATTAATCTAATTATAAAATATATAAAACTATTCAGAAATGTACTCTAGTTTATAACAATACCATATATATTTTGAATAATACGTGTATAATTTTCAATATTAGGAATAAGCATAAAAATACATTACTAATAGTTTGTCATTTGAACCAAAATTTTTGAGATTTTTAAAAAAAATAAATTTTGTTCAAAAATATCTGATTAAAATATAAAATATTATGTAGTAGATGATGTGTCTCTACAATATACACTATACTCACTATATATTAGGCATGAGTATAATAGGAATTAAGATAATCATTGTACTATATATGATAGAATTTTTATAGTAAGCGATTATTATATATGGGTTTTAATTAATAAGATACTATCAAAAAAGCAATTGCTCATAGACTAAATAATTATTATGTCTTATATTCACCCTTTGATAATAAAATTATTATTGTATGTTTTCTGCAATAATACGGAGTAAAAAGACAAAACCCATCGTTTCGGTTATGGTTTAATTCAAGAAAAATAAAAAAATATTAATTATATATATCTTATAGATACTGAAAAATTGATGAATATTTAATAAATAATTTTTAATACATATATTTATGCATTTGGAAATATGAACATGATGCATAATACAAATATTTTGTATGGCGTTAAATTATATATGAAGATGTATTAGATATTAAATAAAAACAATGATGTAAATAGAAGAGAAGATTAATTTATTTCCATACAATTATATTGTAATAATTTCATGAAAAATTAAAATATAATCCTAAATTTAAACAAATCCTTATTTATAAAAATATTTTAATCCCAAATTATGAAAAATATAATAACATCAAATATACTTAAAGATAAATTAAATTCAAATTTGTTATTAAATGTTAATAGGGTTATATATATATAATGATTCTGACTTAATATATGTATTCTATAAATAAAACATTCATAATATAAAGACTTATATTGGTTCTTTGATTTTAATTCAAAAATAAATATTAAATAACTTCCTTAAGTATATTGAGGCTCTGTTCATGATTTTACACGTATCCTTTAGTACATAAATCATATTTATAGTATAGTAGTGCTCTATTTTCCTAGGTTTATATCAGTTTTATCAGAATATAGTTAAACAAAAATAATATATTAAACTTAATATTTCTAATTAGGTATTATCCTTAATTTTACAACACGTGCCATGAAAATAAAGGATCTTATAAAAATCAAAGGAATGACTTTATATAAAATAAAATATTTACTATTATATTAATGAAAAATGCACGTTACTTGTACGGATAAAAGTAGTATTCGCCTAGATTGTCATTCTATAGAGATGTTAAATTAAGGAACCTTTAATTTTTCGTTAAATAAATTAAATATATTCAGATGCTACAGAAATGAATAATTTTAAATAAATAAGTCAGTAAGAAAAATAACATTTTTTATTTCAATCTTTATGTACATTATCTTTTTCACATATTATTATGGTTATATATTAGTATATTATTTAACATTAGTTTAATTTAGATTATTGTGCATTGATTTATGAAATTTAATAATATTCAAAAAGACATTTCTGTAAATGTGTTATGTATTACCTTTATGTTATTATAAGAAATAATTTCATAATACATATATTAATTTTCTGTATACATGATTCATTATATACAATACTATATAAAAATAGCTTCTTCATCAATACAATTATTGTAATAAAATTGTCTATTTTATATAATATATAAAATAGTTATAATTCTCTAATACATTATTATCATGAATAAAACAATTTTTATTTAATAACTTGAATATTATAAACTAAGTTTATATAACATATATAATGAATAGTATAGCATTTGTACATTAAAATAATGAAATCTAAGAAGTGTTATATAATTCCTAACTGAAATAAAATATAAAATGTTATGATAGATATGTTTCATAGAATTAATATATCTTTTATTTTTATATTTTTTAAGTATATATAACAAATTAATAATTATGTCAAGAATATTATTTGTATAAGATATATTCATATTTAAATATAATTATTATAACATATTTTGAGAAATATTTAATAGGTACACGAATTTTATAAAATATCTTAATTTCTTAATGAATAATTAAAACAAAATAAGACATACATATTATGAAATTAATACCGTGCGGAATCCATTAATAAAATGGTAATAAAAACTTTATAATTTTTTATTTATACGTATTAATTCGTATATCATGAGTTCATTTATTTCATAATAAAATAAGTAAGATAGTTTTTATGGATAAAAATAATTTTGATATTTTGAATTAAAAAAAAAAATAAAATAAAAAAATTAATGTTACTATAAAAAATATTCTCCATTCATTGTATAATGGCATATATTATAATAAATATATATTTATGTATACACTAAAATATTGTGATCATTATCTAATTTTATTATTATATCATTATATTATATATTGCAAAAAATAATTATTCATAAATATGAAAAAACATAATTGTATATTATATATAATGTAAAATTTTTCTTTTCATTTATTTTTTGTTTATATAATAAATATTAATTTAATATAATTATAATATAAAATAATCTATATATAACGCATTTATAAGAAAATATATATCAAATTAAAATGTTTATTTAACTTTTCCATATACTCATATAAATTTATGTATAATAAAAAAAAAAGAACAAGGTATATTTACCTTAATTAATATAATTCACATAAATTAGGGTACCTTAGTTTTGTGTGTCCTTAATATTTTTTATATACAAGTAATAAATGTACTAATGACTTGAATTTAATTAATTACGCAGAAATATTTTCAAGAAAAAGCAGAGATAAAAGCAAAACATATATAATACAAAATTACGAATAATAAACCTTTGATTCCATAGTGTGATTTCTAAACTAATGAGTGTTTTATTTTGAACCATAAATATTAAATTTATATAGCAATTATAGAACTAGAAATAAATGTATTATAATAAAATTATTGATTATATTACATAATCATTTTAATTTATTAACACTTATAACAATATTATTAAAATAATTTTATAAATATAATAGTATTAAAAATATTTTTTCAATTTTATTTTATACTGTACATCCTAATATATGAATTATTTTTTAATTTTATTATATTTTTTAAAAAATCTTTGTCCAATACAATCAAATAATAATAATACAGTTTAAAATATATAAATAATTTATCGAATGTATGAATGTTATGTAAATATATTTCATGAATTAATACACATAATACGTATATTATATTTATTCTGATATTTTTAAGAAATATGGGTGCATTATATTATAAGAAAATAATTTTTTTATTATACTAATTTCAACATATATAATACAATGGGATCCTCCATAACTGTGAACCAGGATGTAAATTTTTAATTTTTTATTAAGCAAAATTATTTACTTTATTTGTAACATACGCTATTCATAAATAAAATAAAAAAAAATTTTGTTTATAGTATAATTTTAAATTTTTATGCACATAATGACTCCATATTCTTAGTTTAATTTTAAGGATATATTTCCCGGATGTAGAAATACATTTAAGAATTTTTACTGGATTAGCCAATACGTGAAACCAGAAATAAATCGTTATTCACCTGTGTGTAGAGATTTTGGACATAATGTGAATTTGAGCTACAGTCAAATTGCTTTTAATGACGGTTGCGTAATACTAGGTGCTTATTTAGAATACATAAATGGCAAAAATAGACAAGATAATACATTTAACATAACATCAAATTGTTATTATTTCTTTTACAAACTAAAGGATTTAGTGAAATTATACGAAGCTCAGTGTGATACTGCGAAAGATTGTTACGAAAAACTGAAGAAAAGACCAGAGGGCGTGAGGAGAATAACTCTGCCAAATGCGTGCGAATATAATGATGTTGAGAAATTTGATAATTCTATATATCAAGTAATGAAATATCTTGATAAACTGTACGAAAACTTTGAATCATTAAGAATATTTAATAATCAAAGAAATATTAACAAAGCCCGAACAATAGCCACAGAGTGTGAAAAAAATTATAAAAATCTTTTCGAAATATCTAAAAGGAGCAGTAATGTTAGTTTAAATAATTTATTGAAAGAATATAAAAACTCATACGATCAAATTATAAATGAAATTAAGGACCACGAAGAAAGACAAAAAATGGCACAAGTCGCATCTACTGGAAATGAGGCAGGTGTAGTTTTATTAACATTTTCAATATTAATTATAATGTTCATTCTATTCAAAGTAAAAAGGAAATTTAATTTTGTGAATGTATATATTATAATAATGTATATTATTTTTTATTAAAAAAATTTAATAATTAATAATATATTAATATGAATGCCATGTTATTTTTTTATTTCTAGTATACGCGTTATGGTATTTGTTTACAAAGAAAACCAAGAAAATTAAGAAGAATGATGAGCAAAAAATATAATGAACATCTAAATTTAATGGATTCAATTGAAAAAACAAGAAATGATAGTATATATAAAAAGTACAAAATATCATATGGCATAGATGATTACGCATAATACAAATATATAATGAACTAATTAACTAAAGATAGATTTCTATAGATTATCTAAACTATATTAAAAACTGTAATACAATAGTAATGAAATAAAAAAAATTATAATAGGGGGAAATACATTAAAATAAAGATAATATGGTTGAACGTCTTTTAGAATATTTTTTAAAATTAAAATAATGAATAGAATGTATATTTTTATATATTATTATATAATAGACAATAATAGAAGATATTTATAAAATATAGGGAAATTTAATAATTCAGAAATTTACATAAGAAACATTAAATACTAAAATTAAATAGCTAAAAAATATTTTATTTAAATTTAACAAATTATTTTAATTATGCTTTGTTTATGAAAAATGAAAACTCACTTATATATTTAATTAATATATAAGATAATTTATGTATATCATAAAAAATATAAATAAGTATATTATTTAAATAAATATTTATTATTGGAGTTTCTAACATAGAAATATCATTTATTATATATAAATCAAAATAAAGAAAACAATTAAACAATATTAATAATTCTTTGTAAAGAAAATTTTTTTTTATAATGAATGCAATGTTGGTTATTGCACAATAAATATTTCTAAATAAACTTAAAATATATTATAAATAGAGACATTTGAGAAATATAAATTAACACAAATATATTCCTATAGTACGATTTGCACACATTAATGTTTTATGTATAATGTTACAATGAAACATATTAAATAGATACTTTAGAAAATGTTCACAAAAATAAATATATTATATATTTTTATATTGTACCATAAAATACACAAAATATATGTGTAATAGAATTATATCATAATATTCATCAATTGAATATATATTATGCTACCTATTCTTTTATATATGGTAATAATTATAATACTTATGCCTATTATTTTTGAATTAATACATTTATAATACCAGGTATATATATACATATTATAGTTGTGAGTCATATTTAGAATAATAAATATTTTGATATTTTTTATTTTGTACATAGTAGAGACCACTAATATACCTTAGACCTTACTATTGTCTTAGTAAATGAATTTATATAGAATAATATATTAGATGACATGTAAAACCTTGATTCTTATTTAAGATATTCATAATATATTGAGATTTAGAAAATAAAATTTAAAAAGTGCGTTATATACAAGAAATTTCTTAGACATACTATTGTTAATATAATATTTATGTGGATTATACATTCAAGCGTTAAAATGCATAGATTTTATATGAATATATTACTAAATTTTGAAACATTTTAAAAATATAAATCTATAATATCAAGATCTTGTATGAAACAGTAAATATAAGGAGTATGTATAAATGATTTAACAGAAGTAAATATAACTGTTATAGAATATGAACAGTTAAATGAATCAAATCATGTATTCATGTTGATTACATATGAAAATACATATATTTATATATTTTAATAAAATGAATTCTATATAATTGAGAGTATAATATATAAAAATCACATAATATAAAACTATAATAAACATAAAAGAAGATATAAATATATGAATAATACCAATTATAATAATTTCATTTTATCGTGATATTTAATAATATAACTTATCTAATGCAATATATTCATACGCGATAATTCTCTATAAAACATTTTTTGTTTTTTATTATATATATACCTTTATATATCCTACAGTATAAAAGACCAATTTTATGTAATGCAAAGATTTAGGTTAATTTTTTTAAGTTTCATTATTTTAGCGCATTGTATATTTAAAAATTTATATATTATTTTTTACTAAATTAATTAAAAGATAAAAAAAAGTATAATGTACTTATATTACGTACCTAATATGTAGAATACTATGTTATTGTATTTTAAAAGTTTTTCACACTTCAGATTAAGAATGAAGAATTATAAAACTGTATTCTTATATTTTTAATTTAAATCCGATACTATGATGCAAAATATATAAAAGTAATATCTAATTCCATGGGAATTTATAGAAGTTAGTACTACATAAAAATTGGAATATGGCTTGTTTTTACATATATATTAATAACAGAATCTTATATATGATAATATATCATATATCATATTATAATATTTCATTATAAAAATTATGTGTAATTATATATAGTTTAATATGAGTTCATGAAGATTAAACCAAAAATTATAAAAATTTAAATATTATTAAAAAATATATATACTTATACTACCTCATATATAGCTTCTGTTTTTTTGTTCTGAGATAGGAAAATAAATTATAAATAATAAAAACATTCCAAAGCAATAAATATATTTATTTAATGATTTAATTATATATTATTTTGCTATACATATATTTTTATCTA